GGGGGGCTACTTTTGACTTTACTGAAGTGACTTGTATTACGTTGGCTTTCTCTTCAAGAGCAGTGCCTTGCGTTTTGTTGAAATATGGGCTCCTTGACTAAGAGTACCAACTTACAACAATAATTCCAGTCCCAATTGTGTTCATAAATTGAAGAGTACCTGCATTTTCAGGAGATACATCCAATGCATCCAATAATACTGGACACTTAGATGATTCATTGGAGGTAGAGGGAATTGTAATCAGAATAGAGCTGGAAGGGACCTTGGAGATGTTCTGATCCAACCCCCCACCCCCAAACAGGAGACCTTATATCCAGGGATGTGATTCAACCACTGTAATAACCAGTTTGGTGAGTGTGCGCTTTGCATTTGAAAAACGTTGCTTTTTCAGACCTAAAGCTTACCTTCTGCTGCAGTCCAGGTGAGTCAATCAACTGAGGCAAAGCAATCTGCTGTGATGCACCAAATAGCTGAGCTGAAACCCTCAGAAATAAAGGACAGAATAGGGCAGGGGCAGGTGGACGGGCCCAAATCATCGCCGTAGCTACCGCTTCGCCGAATGGTAGACTCCCACCCCTGCCTATATCATTTCAGACAAGTGATTGTCCAGTCTCCTCGAAAACCTCCAGTGATGAAGTACCCACAATGCCTGAAGGCAAGCTGTCCCACTGGTTAATTGTCCTCATGGCCTTTAATCATCTTAGCTGATCTTTGCAGTTTTTCCAGTCTCGACATCTTGTGACCATTACCAGTGTGTCTTTACTAAGGCTTTAGAAAGCAGTACTAATACTTTACTTGATTTTGATTTTATGCCTGTTTATACAACCAAAGATTGTATTGGCTTTTTTTGCTGCTGCTTGCACACTGCTGACTCATGTTCAAGTGATCGTCCACTGGGATTCCAAGGTCCCTCTCAGTTACTGTTTTTCAGCCAGGTTTCGCCTAATCTGTACTTGTACCTTTGCTTTTTCCTGCCCGGGTGTAAAACTTTGCTTTTCTTCACATTAAATTTCATGTTGTTGGATAGGGCCCATTGTTCAAGTCTGTCAAGATCTTTTTGGATCCTGAACTTGTCTTCTGGGATGTTGGCTATTCCTGCCAGCTTAATGTCATCTGCAAGTTTGACGAGTTCCCCTTCTATTCCCTCATCTAAGTCATTTATAGTGGGCCTAAGACGGAATCTTGTGGTACCGCATTGCTTACTTCCATATAGATGTAGTACCGTCAAGGACTACTTGTTGAGCTTTGAGTTTTGTCAGCCAGTTACAAATCCATATGGGGGCGTGATGCTGTCTACACATTTTTCTAGCTTGCCAAGAAGTAGGTTGTGGTCTACTTTGTGAATGGCTTGTCTAAATATACTATGTCCACAACGTTTTGCTGGTCTATTCATTTAGTCACTTCGTCAAAGAATGAAATAAGATTAGTTTGGCATAATAATGCTAAAATGCATCTTTTTGTGGAACACCTCTGAAGAAATTACAGGTTTGTGGTTTTAAACATGGATATGTACATGTTGTGTATCCCTTTAGGTCTGAGAAAAATAGAAGTGCAAACTGACCATCGAAGTGGGTGTTCCAGAACTAAAGGGTCTGAAAGTGACAGGTAATTTCCTTGAGTTATCGGATAATTCTTGCTTGTTAGGATTAGACACATGCTTTCAATGTTCTTCTTTGTGGTTAAAAAATATTGGGTTACTCAGTGTAGATGACCAGGCTGAACCCGAGGGTGGGGGTCAAATGCATCATCAGCCTGAGTCTCTATGAGACCCTAAAAGAGACCTAAGTCTCTTGGAGACCTTGAGGACTACTGACTCTTACCTGGCACCAATTACTCATGTCCATTAGTAGATCAGATTCTTGTGTATAGGTTGCATGGAATAAACACAGTGCTTTCTGAATTCTAACCTGGCTCCTGATTTCTTGCACCTAACATTAAGTACTAAATTGGCTGGTCATTTGCATATTATACATACCTATATCTATACATTTTTTTCTGTGGAATAGCAAAGTGCAATGGGCTAATTTATTGAAGAATGTTATGTAGCATCAAATAGGACTTTTAATTGGATATTGTTTCTTCCCCTCAGTGCCATCTGGATTCAGGGCTAAAACTGCCTGCCTGTGGCTGACCTCCTCCCTTGGCCATGATAAAAAGCTCGGGCAGGGAAGAACATAAGACTTTAGTTCATCCATCTTGAAGGAAGCTTTTGGAAGAGACTCACTGTCAACATTGCCAGTTGATAGACTACCGTAGTCTCATTTCCATCCTTCTTATAGTGACATGGACTCCCTGGAGGCTGATGTCCAAAGCAGCTGGAGGGGGCAGGAATGGGAACTGTGTTGATGGGAAGAATGGGAAGAGAAGGCGGTGGTGGTGGCAACTTCTTGTGGAGGGAAAATAAAAGCAAGAGTGCTCAGGTGAAAATTAAGATAAATAGTGGAAAGATACAGAGATGGGTTCTTTCCACTGTTATCTATTTTGATATTCCCATTTTTTGGGGTGGAGAAAGAACTACCTCTCACAATCTGGTAACTATCAAGCACATTCTTTACTATTTTAAAGGTTGTCAGAAAATGTCTTTTAGTGAGAGTAGACAGAATTGTTGTTACAAAAATGTATGTATAATTTTGAGTAAATTAGGAAAAGAAAGATTTCAATGTTGCTTGAAGAGACTGGTTTATTTATCCAGTTACACTTTAAGCTTAAGACAAATCCTAAGAATTACATCCAGGCAGGTGATTATCAATATACTTAAACTACCTTTAGTTCTATATGTAGCTTCTCCAGCTACAGCGTTTGCAAAGTAAGCTGTATATCTGTCAAGTGACTTGAGACCATTTTTTTTTGCAGAAAAGATGACACTGAATGTAACTAATTAACTTCGTGTATCCTCCTCTTACAGCTCCTAGATATGATGTTCTCAGAGTTATAGAGAAGATTGACATTAAATTTACCAGAATAAAGCTACTCTAATTAATTGGAACATGAGCAGTTGGTTGTCAAAATGCAGAGCTAACCACTTTGTAGGTTTCATAATTATATGTTATCTTGCTGTAAGAAACCTAAGAGAAATCCAATATAACCTTGTCCCTCATTAGAGTTGGATACCAACATAATCAAAGTAACTGCTTTTAGACCTGGTACCTTAAGCAATCCATAAATTGCCAAAAGCATCTACAGCAAATTGTCTAATGTTATTTACCAGAAAAACAGTGAAAAGCATGTCCATCTAGACAGAACTTACTGCTATAAACCAATTTAGGACTTGATTTCCTGTGTGTGTGTGTGTGTGTGTGTGTACACATAAATACACATACACACTAACGAACTCAAGAGTTGTCCTAACTAACGGATGGAGGGTGACTTCTAATTTTAAAAAAACTGCTGTGTCCTATCTCAACATCTTTCTCCGCAGAGAAATTCAGCAACCTGTTTCCATGGCATATTCGAGACCATCCCGCCGAATCAAAACAACAGCTCTTGCAAAAACGAAAATGGATCTCTCCAAGCTTCTAGACAAAGAATAAGTTAACCAAATCTGTTTGTCACTAAAATTTGCTTTATGTGCTGCATAATAAAGATAAAATCTTTATAATGTGGTATATTTCATACAAAGATGTCTCTATTTTTTTTAAATAGTTCCTATTAAGGATGCTTGAGAATTATACTTAATTTCAACCAATTTTTATTGCATATAAAGTTCAAGCTGTTACTCTGAAAGCTGTGTCTTGGATGGTTAAATCAGTTTGTTTTTCAAAATGTAAACGTATTTTTAAATTTGTCCTTTGGGAAATGTAATAAAATGTTGTAGATTGTCCGTAGTATTTAATATGGCAGATAAATTTACTTCAAAAAAGTGATTGCTGTACAACTCCAACGTCTCAATTAAAAGTTTGGAAGCTTTTAGCTGTAAGAATTTAAAAATGCAAAATCATTCTAATACAGAACTGCATCAATAAAACAGCCACATGTATTATTATGAACTATCAGAAGCACATTGCAAAGTGCATGCTAACTTTTTGAACTATAAAAGTAAGCATTTTATGTTAGTGTCTTTCCACCAAAGACTAATAGTATTAGTAATGTAAGGAGGGTTTAGAAGGATGCAGACTGTCCAAAGCTGAATGTATTTAATCATAAAGAATATTGATTTTTTTTGCACTGAGCAAATGAATATTCATTATGCTCTTCATACTTGATAGGCTTTGCTTCTTTTCATAGCACCTCAGAACCAAAATCATGTGTCCTAACATGTCTTGCAGTGCCAGCAGTTTTACAAACTTGCAGCATCCTTTACTTTTCCGTGTATGAAAATATAAAGGGTGTTGAATTAGAAGACCTTCAAGGTCCCAGAATATTCTATGTACTAAACTGCTTTCATTGTTAGAATGTACCTACCTGCTATGAGATGTTCCTGGGTATTTCCTGCATGAGTCACATTCATAGACAATGTGTACCAGGAGAAATTGTGTTACTCATTGCACTTGATTATAGTCAGTTGTAGCATCCCATGGTCACATGACCGCAATTTCTGAGATTTATCTTTAATTTCCAGCAAAAAAACCACCACCACTACCCATTGAATATCATGCATTCATTAAAGACCATGTATTTGCTTAATGACTGCAGTGTTCATCGAACAATACCACAAAAATGATAAAATTAGTCACCTTAATGGCTGCCATAACTTATGGCTAATTTTGGCCTCGATTACAGTTATAAGTCAAAGACGCCCTGTATCCTGTATCAGCTGACTATAATGAATCAAATACATCCACATCTTTCTTCAGTTGGAAATTACTTCCTAACAAGAAGTGGGAGTTAAGATGAATCCAATTTGTTCAACTGAACTTTTTTCTCCATTGCCAATTCTCATGTTTTTTTATAGCATTTGATAAGTGATATATAGGATTAGATGCAGATCCTAGATGGCTTATTTTTAAAGCAAACTGGACAACTGGAATGGTAAACAACAAATTCAGATAAGAAAAAGGAGATAGGTTGCAACCATTTTAATCTAAGTGTAGTGTAACTTCCCACAAAATGTCACCACCGCTTCCCAATATTTAATAAAATGTTGATAATGTGAAGGCTGGTTAAGTGACTAAAAGGGTCTCCTTTACAATCAGTGGCCTTTCAGCATTTTTAAAAAAAGATAGACATTTCATACAATAAATGAAAATTAAGATTTAGAAAGCATACCATACATTCTGATCATTATTGTCTGAAAGATTTTACAAACTGCATTTTTATACAACTCTGCACCAAGGTAAACTTCAATTTCTTAATAACTTTTACACATCACATTACATAAATATATTAACATCTGTGCGCAAAATTAAACTACAGAATATATAACTAGAGGCAAAAAAAGATGAGAAAAAATACAACATACTGTTAAAAAGATAGCCTCTGTTTCATACAGGACTTAGAATGAAGATATTTTTTGTATTTACATGCAAAGATTTCAGTGAGTGATCAATATTCATGATTATGGAACTATAACCAGCATGTTATTTCATGATCAAGATGCTTATTTAGCAGGAAAAAAAATCCATATAATGTACAAAACAATAGTGCAAGAAGAGCTTCAAACTGTTCTCTTCGTTTTTGAGCTTTTGGTTAAAAACTATACATCTGACCAAAGATGCTGCTGTGAAACTTAGCTTTTACTCCCCAGGTAGATTTAAGGCACATGATCATTTTCAAAGGTTGTTTGGTTCTTTATGTCAAATATATTTCAGTTTTCACATTTTCATTTTTAGAAACCAATCAGGGCCAGGAATATTATTTCAATAAATGCATTTTGTAAAGACATAGAAGATGAATCTTCTGACTGCCACTGTACTGTTAATAATAATAAAATGCCATTGGCTTATAGAGAGGTTAGCCTTGTTGAAACATTTTCCTACTGGACTAAACCATATCAAGTACACAGATGCCATTTAATTATTTTAGAAATATTTTCCGATTGAATAAAGTGTGGCCTCTTTCTATACCTATTAAACAGCAGTCACGGTTTTGCTTACATTTTTAAGTTTTAAGCAGAAAAAGCTAAAGCTTGATATATCTAGAGAGAATATTACAGTCAATCCCTGATACAGGAATGTTCTTTGATTAGCTAAAAGTTGGTTCCTGTATTTTCAATAAACTTAGATGCTTGTTTCTGAAGTAACAATGTCTAAATTTTAGGGTTCTTCTTACACATTCCAATAGTTTCATGCCTGCATATTGCTTTTCTTGCACGATGGTATTCAGGCTGGGACAATGCTGGATGCCACCAAGTTTTTTAGTTTCAACAAGATGAATGAACTTTATAATCAAGACTTTGTTTGGCCTTAGGTATATATATCCTGACAGTAATGGGTGTGAATTCTTTCACAAGTTCAGATTCTCAAACCTCTTAAGGCGCACAAGAAAAGGGCAAGGTTTATAGCAAGTGACAGGTTTGTGTATTTATATATCATCCTCTCCCAGCAAACTGGACAATTCACTGGAGCTAGAGAATCACAAATGAGAATGCTTGTGAAAACAAGTTTCCCAACTTTTTTCTTTCCCTGCTCCCCAAATGCTCCAAAATACACCCAAGTTGGACAAAACCAACCTAAGATTTGCATTTTATTTCCTCAAGGGAATCTTTCTAATGCAGTTTTATAGGTAAAGAGGAAAGAAATTTGTCAATTTAATGGTTCTTAGGAGCTAAGCAATCTGCTTTGTTAAACATAAATAGTAAATAATATATTTTCTCAGCACTTTTAACTCTAAAATCTGATTAAATTGCTGTATGGATGAGCAGGCTGAGCCCTTTGTACCCACAAGAGATCCAAGTTGAATTCCTGTGACTCTTAGCCAGCATGCATGGGTGTTAGGAGTTGATTCTTGTAGAGAGGTTAAGCTTGCAATAAATCTTGATACCCATTTGAACTGCCAGAATCTCCTGATTTTCCTGGAGCTTGACAATTGCTCAATTTGCAATTCTATTGATTATACCTCAATAACTAGCCGCATATCTTTCCCATGATGTGGCTGAACTTTCGTAGGAGAGAACAAGCAAGCAGTAAGTTGGCTATTATTGATTTGCTTGGGTGCCTCATCAAAAACTAGATCAACTATATATAGTTATTCAAGTGCTAATTTAGGGGTATCAGATAGCATGCTTATAAGACTGTACAATTGAAGCCCATGATACAACCAAAGAAATAGAAAAAGTCATGCATTACATTGACCGCCATGGAACGAATTCCCTTTTTATTAGAAAACATTAGGCAAAGCCAGAACTTATTCAAGAGTACAGGGGTCCCCAACATGTGGGCTGTGGCCCACTACTGAACTGTGGCTTATGTGCAACCGGGCTGTGTGAGTGGCGGTCACTGGCATTCACAGTCCAACTTGCGAGAGCAGTGGACTGCAGCCCCCACTCACATGTGCGGCAGGCACTGGTGCTCACAGCTCCACTTGCATGAGCAGTGCCCACACTCACCCGCTGCTCACACAAATGAAGCTCTGCGTGGGCACATACCCAAACCTGCCCTTCTCCTCTCCCCCTCCCCGCCCCAGGTCAGGCTGACCACCCAGAAAGGTTGCGGAACGCTGCAGTAGTGTTCAAATCTTCTACAGATAATTGAACTCAACAACTTTTGCACTTTAGATTGATTGCATATAATCCATCAGTTTGGAATTGGAACAAAGAACCTAGGACAACAGGAAGAGACCTCACAGGTATTCTAGTCTTTTCTAGCAGGAAACCCCATCCCATTCCAGACAAATGGCTGTCTAGTTCCTTCTTGAAAACCTCCAGTGATGAAGCATCCACAACTTCTGGAGGTGAGCCACTCCAGTGATTTATCTGTTCCCATTGTTAGGAATTTTCTCCTTAGTTCTAGGTTGGATTTCAATGTGATAAAATTTCCATCTGTTGTTTCTTGTCCTGCTTTGGAGAATAATTCAACCCATTTCTAGCCCCACAAATACTGAAAGACAGGTGTCATGTCACCCCTAGTCCTTCTCTTTGTTAGACTGGTTATACCTAGTTCCCTCAATCGTTCATCATATGGCTTAGCCTTCAGACCCCCTTGTTATCCAGGTCTTCCTGCTCAGCAGTGTGACCAAAGAGATATACAGATTCTATCACAATGATATATTTATTACAGGTGAAACTCAAAAAATTAGAATATCGTGCAAAAAGTTCATTTATTTCAGTAATGCAACTTAAAAGGTGAACCTATTATATGAGACAGACTCATTACATGCAAAGCAAGATAGTTCAAGCCATAATTTGTGATTATAGCTTACAGCTCATGAAAACCCCAAATCCACAATCTCAGAAAAGTGGAATATTACATGCAATCAATAAAACAAGGATTGTACATAGAACAATATCGGAGCTCTGAAAAGTATAAGCATGCATATGTACTCAGTACTTGGTTTGGGCCCCCTTTGCAGCAATGACTGCCTCAATGCGGCGTGGCATGGAAGCTATTAGCCTGTGGCACTGCTGAGATGTTATGGAAGACCAGGATGCTTCAATAGCGGCCTTCAGCTCTTCTGCATTGTTCGGTCTCATGTCTCTCATCTTTCTCTTGGCAATGCCCCATAGATTCTCCATGGGGTTCAGGTCAGGACAGTTTGCTGGCCAATCAAGCACAGTAATCCCACGGTCATTGAACCAGGTTTTGGTGCTTTTGGCAATGTGGGCAGGTGCCAAGTCCTGCCGGAAAATGAAGTCAGCATCCCCATAAAGCTCGTCTGCGGAAGGAAGCATGAAGTGCTCCAAAATATCCTGGTAGACGGCTGCGTTGACCCTGGACTTAATGAAACACAGTGGACAAACACCAGCAGATGACATGGCTCCCCAAATCAACAGACTATGGAAACTTGACACTGGACTTCAAGCATCTTGCAGTGTGTGCCTCTCCATTCTTCCTCCAGACTCTGGGTCCTTGGTTTCCAAATGAGATGCAAAAGTTGCTCTCATCAAAAAAGAGGACTTTGGACCACTGAGCAACAGACCAGTTCTGGTTTTCTTCAGCCCAGGTAAGAGGCTTCTGACGTTTGTTGTTCAGGAGCGGCTTGACAAGAGGAATACGACATTTGAAGCCCATGTCCAGGATCCGTCTGTGTGTGGTGGCTCTTGATGCACTGACTCCAGCCTCAGTCCATCCTTATGAAAGTCCCCAACACTTTTGAATGGCCTTTTCCTGACAATCCTCTCCAGGCTGTGGTCATCCCTGCTGCTTGTGCATCTTTTTCTTCCACACTTTTCCCTTCCACATAACTTTCTATTAATGTGCTTTGATACAGCACTTTGGGAACATCCAATTTCTTTTGCAATTACCTTTTGAGGCTTTCCCTCCTTATGGAGGGTGTCAGTGACGGTTTTCTGCACAACTGTCAGGTCAGCAGTCTTTCCCATGATTGTGATTCCTACTGAACCAGACTGAGAGACCATTTAAAGGCTCAGGAATCCTTTGCAGGTGTTATGGCTTAATTAGCTGATTAGAGTGGGACACTTTGAGCCTAGAATATTGAACCTTTTCACAATATTCTAATTTTCTGAGATTGTGGATTTGGGGTTTTCATGAGCTGTAAGCCATGATCATCTCAATTATGACACATCACGGCTTGAACTATCTTGCTTTGCATGTAATGAGTCTATCTCATATATTAGGTTCACCTTTTAAGTTGGATTACTGAAATAAATGAACTTTTGCATGATGTTCTAATTTTTTGAGTTTCACCTGTATATCATAAAGAGTTTGAACCCTATCATAATTGGGCTCCATAGGTCTGATGATTCCCAGTAAGGATGAAAATGGCGGTGGTGAAAGAAACTTCTTGGTGGTCAAGTAACCCAATGAAGCACCCAATGTAACCCATAGGATATGGACTGTGCAAACATGGAGAAATGCCTCCTCCCCACCAAGAGACAAAGGTAATCCTCAACTTCAATCACAATTCAGCCCAAAATTTCTATTGCTAAGCCAGACAGTTTTGCCCCATTTTATGACCTTTCTTGCCACAGTTGTTAAATGAATCATTGCAGTTGGTAAGTTAGTAACATGGCTGTTAAGTGAATCTGGCTTTCTCATTTACTTTGCTTGCCAGAAGGTCGCAAAAGATGATCATATAACTCTGGGGCAGTTATGAATACATGCCAGTTGCTAAGTAGGTGAATTTTGATCACATGACCATAGGGATGCTGCAATGGTTGTAAGTGTGAAAAGCAGACAATGTAATTCAAACAGTCACTAAACAAATAGTTGTAACTCGAGGACTATGTGTAATATGAAACCTCATCCATAACATAATTCTATTCATGTTGCTGCAAATTTAAGACGGACTATATATACATGCTGATAGAAACAGGTAACCCTTGACTTAGAACAGTTCATTTAATTACTTTTTGAAGTTACAACAGCACTGAAAAAGTGGTACACCTGTTTTTCATACTTATGTCTGTTGCAGCATTCTCATGTTCGTTTGATCAAGATTCAGACACTTGACAACTGATTCATATGTATGACAATTGCAGTGTCTCAGGGTTGTCTGATCACTTTTTGTGACTTTCTGAAAAGCAAAGTCAATGGCAAAGCCAAATTCACTTTCTATCTTAACTACAGTGTTTCACTTAACGACTGGGGCAATAAAGGTTGTAAAATGGAGACAACTCACTTAATGACTGTCGTGCTTAGCAACAGAAATTTTGGGCTCAATTGTGGTAATCAGTCAAGGAACTTGTAATGCCTTGAGCCAAGCAATTCAAAACAAAATGAACAAATACATCCTTAGAATCATTCAATGTCTTTCAGAGTCTATTTCTGCCTTATGCAAACTAAGCCTAATCTCCTCTTGCCTGAAAAGATGTACTGCTAAAACAGCCACGTTCTTCTATCTTTGCAACTTGAAGATGTGTGGACTTCAACTCTCAGAATTTCCCAACCAGCATAAATTGCCTTCCTCTTGCCAATTTTGACCTGGCAGGGAAGAGCTGAACTTTTCTGACACACTCAAGTGCAACCCTAACAAAGAATTGCTAGTTTAGACAGATAATGTAAGTTTCCATGCAATGCTTCTTGTCCTGCCTTCAGGTGCTTTGGAGAATAGGTTGGCTCCTCTTCTTTGTGGCAGCCCCTTAGATATTGCTATCACACCAGTCCTTCATATGTCATTAAACTAGACATATACCGAAATGCCCAATTTGATCTCAGACAAAACCTCTCTACTACTCACAAAGATTAAGGGAAGGAGAGGGAAAGTCCATTTGGACTTACAAGATTCTCCTACTGCAACTTTCTAACAAAAATGGTATTAGCATTCATAACTCTGGTTTCCTAGTCTGGTTTTCCTTGAAGGGCTGATATCGGCATATTTTTATTTTATGGTACAAATATTTTATATCATTCCTGGAATACATATTGTAGAGACAAGTGCAATGAGATTGCTTGCCTTGGAGTTATATTTTTGCCAAATGTAAACCTATACAATCCATCCAATCTCCTTACACCGAATCTATGTAAAGTTTTAAAAGTCTGGCATTTAAAACGTTCTTTGAAAATGAATTTATAAACATAAAATAATTTTCCTCCTATGGTTACATACTGTAAAATTGGCCATGAACTTTAAACAAGTTAGTTTCTTCAGTAAAGTTAACACAAAGTAGATTGCATTGCTCCAATGCTAAAGAAACACTATCCAAGAAATATGTATGTGCATTAACTTCTCTTGCTCTAGTCTTTCTGATGTGTCTGTGCAGCTACCTCAAGATGAGAAGAGTAAGACCTCTGTGAAGTACAACACCAATGAAGATCTGTACAGTGGACTGGTCATCTGATGAAAGTCTGGCAGGCCTGCCTCTGGAGAGAGGACAAATAAGGGGTAGCTTTCATCCTCCACAATGGCGGCACTCCTTTTTCCCTTGTGCCTAAACCATATTTTCTTTTGAGATTTGTGCAATCCACCAAAGGGTACCACTTAACCAAGAGAAAGTATAAAATATGACTAGGAATTGGATATAGAGGCAGATTTCTTACTAGAAATATCATTGATAAAGCTGATAAAGTTTCAAGTGGCACATCATCAGCCTCCATACACCTTGGACAAAATAATTTAAGAAGCATCTATTGCCTTCTGATTGTACCTTATATTTTCTAGAACCCTGATGTAACAAGAGAAATCTGGAAATAGAACAGGCTGCCACTAACATATCATAATGTTCATTTGAATTCACTGAATCTCTTGGCTTGAACTTTAGGCTGGAGAAACCTCATCCATAACTGTGCTAAATGTTTCTCTAGAGTGTCTTATATTAGTTTTCTCTTTTTTTAAAAAAAAAGAACTCTAATGCCTATCTTGCCCTTGATATCTTATTATTCCTGCAAGCTCATTTCAGATAAAATTCTGGGCCTCAAGAACAAATTGTCAGTTGTGCCATCCACCAGAGGGGTAGTTTTTAGGACACACTGCAAATTAAAAGGCCATTTTAAACACGTAATGGAAAAGTAAGCCTTTGCCAAGGTTTCTGAATTTGCTCCGATATACTCTGCTAGGTGGATTCCCTTTCAGTCTTCTTTGTTGAATCTTAAGATGCATATCTTAACATGCATGCAACTTGTCACAAATAAAGAGAAAAGAAGTTCCATTGTACTATTATTCACTGGGGGTGGGGATAACATTTGGAAGCCAATATGCAACCATGAGATTCGAATGGTTAGCATTCTTGAGATATTTTGATAGGCATGTCCCAAGGAACCACACTTTAGATCCTTCACATCAACACGGACACCATCTTATAGGCAAGCTTGTCACTAAGTTGTGCACCAACAAAAGTAATTCTTTCAATTTCAATTAAATGCAGCCTCCAGAAAGGAGTTTGTGTGTTTAGCTCTTCAAAGCAGTTTTGTTTAATTAGTACAGCAATGACTTGCTCAGTTTGACAATCATTCACAGTACTGCATGCTTCTCTGGGATGATGATAGATGAATTCATTTTAACAATTCATGGGATTTACTTGAGAGCTTCCATGGAGAGGCAATTGGAATGGGATCATGGAGAATTCAACAGCTTTGCTAGCAAGTCCACCCAGCAAATGCAGCCCAACAGGTTTAAGAGGACCTAAAAGAAAGGAAGATGCCATGATAACCTAA